TCCCTGTCCCAGTGGTTTGGCCCACTGGGCTCACCCACTGCCCTTGGCCCTCCCTTCTTGTTCCAGCCTCTCTGGATGGGTTCTACAGCAGCCGCAGCCTGGATGGTGAGTCTCCACCCTTGAGGGCCAGGGAAGTGGTCTCCTTGCCCCTGGTTCTCACAGCTCCCAGGCACTGGGCTTGTCAAGGAGGGAGGGCAAAGAAAAAGAGGTTTGGACCTTGGAGGGCAAAAAGCTCCTTCCCTGCCTGCAGCCAGCTAGAGGGAGCTGATAGCTGGACGCCTTTGGGCAAAGGGGAGGGGATGTGGGTTCCAGGTGACAGGGACCTCTGCTCTAATACCACCCTCTGTGTTTTCAGTTGCCAAGGCACCTGCAGCTTCCAGCACCCTGGATGCTGCCCACATTGCAGCTGCCATCTTCTTGCCGCTGGTGGCAATGGTGCTGTTGGCGGGAGGTGTGTACCTTTACTTCTCCAGGTGGGTCTGGCTTCTCTTCCTGCTCTGCATACTTGCCTCCCTCCTGCCCAGTACTCCTGACTGGCAGGCGTTTCTGCCGACAGGTTCCAGGGGAAAAGCTCCCTGCAGCTGCCCCGAACACGACCCCGCCCCTATAGCCGCATTACCGTAGAATCAGCGTTTGATAATCCAACTTACGAGACTGGAGTAAGTAACCATGCCAACCTTGACACCCCAGCCAGGACCCAATTCTTTGCTCCCTTGGGAAAGTACCCCTGAGGGTCCTACCAAGCCCTCTCAATTTTTCCCTTTTCCTTGGGAAGGTGAATTATGGCCTGGCAAACCTTATGCAAGTTTCCAACTCCCAGCAGTCTCTTTCCTTCGCAGGAGATGAGAGAATATGAAGTCTCCATCTAGGTGGGGGCAGCCTAGGGAAGCCAACTTAGCCTTGCGTCACAGTCCAGCAGCAGGGCTCCCGGCTTCCTGCTGTCCCTCCACCTCCTGTACATACCACCTGGGAGGAGACACCACCAATCCCTCAAGAAGTTGTGCCCTTCCCCGCCTGCAATGCCCACCACGGCCTATTTTCTTGGTACCACTGCCCACTAAGGGCCCTTGGGCCCAAGTCAGCGGGCATCTGCCTATGGGCAGAACACAGCTGGAGCACATACATCAACAGCCAGCATTCTCCTGACCCTCCCCCATGCCCTGGACTTCCAGCCTGGAATTCACAGGCAGAGCAGAAGCACCTTTCTCCACAAGACCACCATCCAGACCTGGCACGTAGGACCCCGCAGCAAGGTTAACTTGGTGGAAACTGCACCAGGGTGCTCCTCACAAAGGCCATCACTAGTGGCCAAAACTGCTCTAGATGGTGACCTCTGGGTAGTTCTGGCATGCCAACATCAGCCCCTCGGGGAGGTCTCTAGTCCTCTAAAGCCCCCGGAATGGACAGTTCTGCTTCCTGCCCTGTTGCAGCGGAGGCAATAATTCTAAGGGATCCTAAAGGGTTCGGGGACCCTACTCCAAGCTCAGGTGGGGCTTCCCTGGGCACTCATGCTCCACACCAAAGCAGGACACCCCCAGCAGCCCTATACCCTGAGGAAAGGGAGACCTTCCTCTGATGTTTATCTGGCTATAACAAACATCCCCTTTCCCACCAGTCCCTCCTCTAATCTCAGCCATTTGCCAGGCTCCTCCTCTCCTGGGGAATGGACAGGCACATTCTGGAGAGGAACAGAGGTCCAAGGACCCAGGAATTTGGCATGGAACAGATGGTCAGAGAGCCCCAGACAGAGGCCCAGGCGCTGGCTGAAGGCCACTTTATACATGTAATGTATTATATGGGGTCGGGGCTCCAGCCAGAGAACAATCTTTTATTTCTGTTGTTTCCTTATTAAAATGGTGTTTTTGAAAAAACCAAGCAATGGCCAGGTGGATGGTGTTTTCCTGGAGGAAAGGGAGGTGGGAAATAAATGGGATATGGACTTCAGGACCCAAAGGCATGCTGGACCCACCAAACGATCATCCCCAGATTTAATTTAAAAAGAAAAAAAAAGTTATTAATACATGCAGTTGAGCAGGGTCCACTGTCCCAAAAAGGTCAGTGCAACAGATGGCAGGTGAAATGACAGGGCCCAGTGGCTGGTGCTCAGGGATGTGGGAACCTGGGAACCACATTGCACACCCACCCCAATGCCTCATTTCCTGTTCTTTGCCGAATCCAGAACCACAGGCTGGCACTCTCCCAAACCCTCCTCAGTGCCACCAGATTGCTGACAAGGCCCAGGAAGCCTGACACATCTCTCCTTCCCCTTACTTCCGAGCAAGCAAGGCTTGGGAAATTAGAATAGGAAACAGAGACTGAACCCCTGAATATGAGGCCTTAGTCTGGCGTGGCCTCAGATAATAGCCAGATGTCAGGAGCACAGGTAATGCAGCTTAGGCACTTCACTCCTAAGTTAGGCTAAGGCCCTATCCATGGGCTCTGGGAAAAGGTGACTGGGCAGGATCTGCTTAAGTTTTCCCCTTCCCTATGGCCCCCAACACCTCCTGAGATGACAGTGTTTGCCTAGAATTGGCCCCCAGCATGCACATTCCATGCTCAGAGGTGTGCCCTGCGTGGCTCCTCTCCAGAGTAGGAGCAAGAGGCAGGCAACAGGGACTTATGGGAACTAAGAAACCAGAAGACAAAAATCCCTCAAAGAAATAATAGCAACTAGCACCTTCCACTTCTACAGCCTTCCAACAGGGAGGTCTTGATCACTCATGCTGCCCACCCCTGGCTCTAACACAGGCCACCTTGAGAAATGCAGAAGCTCCAATCCACGCAGAGTGCAGTGCCTAGATTAGCCACAAGAGGTCAATTCCAAAGGCAACTATATCCTACCTGTTCTCTCTCCTTAAGCCCCCTTGAACTTCCTGGGTTGAAGCTCTCCAAGGTGGCACCACTCCTGGCCCCACTGGGCTGACCTCATTCTCCAAGTTCCAAGAGGAAAGTGTGTGAAGTTCCCCTGGCACTTGTCGACAGAGCCAAGTTTTATTTTGCTCATTAGCCCACCGCCTGTTCCTGTTCTCAGCTGCAACCGATGGTGTTGATCAGAGCAAAGCCTTCCTCACTGGACAAGTGCCAGTGGCTTACTTATCTGCCCCATAATGCCTTCAGGCTGACAGAGCAGCACAGCCCTGAGCAGTAGGAAGGAAGCCAATAAGAGAGGGCACATGAGGTTCTAACCTCTGAGGGCCTGTGGCATGAGGTTCAGCCCTAAGAGAGAGATCTGGCCACTTCCATACAAGCAATCTAGCTCAGCCCTCCCCTCTCTGAGTGCCACATCTCTGGTCCATAGTCACTAACGTCTATTGTTGGCTGAGCCTCGAAGAAGGCAGAGAGCAGCCAATTTACATGACATTCCCCACCCCCAGCACCCATGACTTTATAGTTCTTTCCAGACACCTAAAGGGTCATCAGAAAAGTGAAAAGGCAGAAAAAAAGAAACTAAGACTCCACATACCAGTATCCCAACTCTAACTCATCCTCCTTACTGTCCCCAAAGAGGGAGCAGCAACAATTCTGCAGAGGCAGTTAACATGGTGTAATGAGCAGTGTCTGGCCTGGGAATCAAGAAATCTGTTTTATTCCTATGTCTGCCATACATTCACTATGCGATCTAGGCAAATTACTGCTCCTCTCTATGCATCTGGAAATGAGGAGCTTAAATCAGATAGTCTCTAAGCTCTTTCCAGTTTGATGACTTGGAAAATGCTAAATGTGTCTTGACATTAAAAGTGGTCTGGGCACAGCTACCTGGCAACAATGCCAATTTAACGCCTAGTGTCAAGCACAACGATGCGGTTCCCTTCTCTACTACTTTATCCACAGTGATGCTGGCAGCAATAACCGGCCTTCTCTGACGGCGATACCAAGGGGAGGGGCGGGCGCCCTGAAAGGGAGCATAATCCCCGCCCAGAATTTGAGGTGAGGCCTTCAGACTACAAATCCCAGCATGCAGCAGTGCAGCTCTCCAAAGTATCCTTTCCCGGCAGGCAAATCACTCTTCCCTGAGTCCATCCTACCCTAGAGTGCATCGCACGCACACAGAACTACGGCTCCCACAATCCACCAGACCCATCGCGATTCCTGCTCCCGGGATGCAATGCGCTCTCATTCGCCCTTTGGACCCCTTGTGCATTGCAAACTGGGAGTTGAAGTCCGCTGTACGCAGGTCGCTGGGCGTTGTCGGGATTACAAACTCTCCGCTTTGAGCTTCCTCTTGAGCAGTTCTCAGGGACGGACGGTGGTGAAGAGAGTGTAGTGACGGGCAGACGGAACTCTCCATAGTGCCATCAACACGCAAGGCAGGGATGCTCGGGCTAAAATTAACTGTCGGGAGCGGGAGGGAAAAGGGAACCGCAGCCAGCCTACCCGCCACCAAAATTGTCATTTTCTGTCGCAATGGCTTCTTTTCTCTCTTTACCAATATGGCGGCCCTGTCAAGCCACACCTGACTCTAGAACCAAATAGTCCAGTACAACATTCCTAGGAATACTGCTGTCCCCGACAGCCTACTAGCTCCATCCAACACCACATCTTGCTCCTTCACGCCTGACGACTCCAAGGGCACGATAGCCCATATCTCATTACCAAAATGGCGAAAGGAGAAGTTTTCTTGTGAGGGCCTGTAACTAACATTACGCCTGCGCGGGAAGCGGCTATGTAACGGGGAGGGAGAGGAGCACCCCCAACACGCCTGCGCGGGAACAGAGTCCTCTTGGTCCGCACACCAACACTGATGGATGAAGAGTCCCTAGGTTCCTGCGGCTGCGCTATGACCCCTAAGAGGTTTCCCAAGCGCCTGCGCGAGGCCTCAGGTCCCGCCCTTTTGCCTCAGTACGCTGGCGCAGGGTAGAAAGGCGGGGCTTCGGCGCTCCAGACGAATGCCAGCGCGGCTGCGCGATGGGGGGTACCCCCTCACCGCGGCTGCGCGGGAGCCCGGCCGCCGGCTGTCACTGCGGTTGCGCGCGGCGAGCGGCGATCCCGGGGCGCCTGCGCGGGTGGCTTTGCGGGCGCTCGCGGTAAGTTTGCGCCAAGTGCGCGGCAGCCGGGACGCAGACGGCGGCGGCGGCGAGAGGCGGAGCCCGGGGACCACCCCCATCACCCTCCCCCCCCAGTCACCTCACGTACCACAACCTCACCTAACCTCTCACCCCCCCTCCGATCCCCCCAACCCTGGGATGGCAGCGCCCGCCAGCCTTCCCGGCCGGACCAGCGGTCGCCAGTGCCGGCTTTAGCCTGTGGGACTAGGCCCCGCCGAGGCCTGACCCCCGGAGCCAGGACCCACTGTGCAGCCAGCAGACGGGCCGGGACTGAGGGGCCGCTCCCCCCTCACAGCCCGTGGGGAGGACGCTGCCGTCCCGGGGACTGGGGGCCGGGGGGTGGGGGGGAGCCAGGGCGAGGAAGTCGGGACCCGTGTTGGGAAAAAAGAAGGGGAGCCGGGGTCAGGAGCGCCCCCTCCTCCCGTTTCCCCCCTCCCCCCGGGGTTGGGGGGGCCGGAGCAGAGAGCACCCAGCCCGGGAGGTGGATGAATGTGGGAGAAAATGGAGACCAAGACGATCGTGTACGACTTGGACACGTCGGGGGGGCTGATGGAGGTAAGAGTGGCCCTCCTCATCCCCTTCCCCCAGCGCTGGGAGGGAACCTACGCCCTCCGCCCCACAAAGCCGGTCCTAAGCTCGAGGCGCCCAGAGGGCCGGGGGAGGGGGGGTTCTTCCTCACCCAGCCTCTCCCTCCCATCTTTGCAATTCGAGGGGCTGTGCTCAGCCTCCGAGGACGTTTGCAGCAGTTTCACCTACCCGCCGCCCTCGATTCGTTCTCCCGAGGCGCCAGCCCACTCCATCTCGTTGCACCGGCGGTCCTCCCCACCCCCTTCTTGTCGGCCCTTTTGTGCTTCCCCCAGCACGTCCGGGTACCGGGCTCGGGCCTCTCCCGAGCTGGGCTTTGGAGTCCCCCACTGTCCATACAAGGAAGTGGCGAGAAGGGAACCGCGCACCCTCTCCCCATCCCCCTACCCTTGATCCTCCCCATTTGGAAGAAGCTGTTCTCGTTGTTGTGCTGCAGGAACGCGGTTAGGGTGGGCTCCCCCTGGTTCCGGGGGCTGAAAGGTTCTGGGAGCAGCCTGGATGGGAGGAAGAAGGACAAAGGGGGGGAGAGGGGTGGGTGACGGAGAAGCCGCGCCGGGGGGGCGACGGACCGCCCGGGAGCTCCGAGTGTGCACACACGCCGTTTGTATGTGTGTGCAGCAAATCCAAGCTCTGCTGGCTCCCCCCAAGACGGACGAGGCAGAAAAGCGGAGTCGGAAGCCTGAAAAGGAGCCTCGGAGAAGCGGCAGGGCCACCAACCACGACAGCTGCGATAGCTGCAAGGAAGGTGGAGATCTCCTGTGCTGCGACCACTGCCCGGCCGCCTTCCACCTCCAATGCTGGTAAGGTCTGGGGACCCCTTTGGAGCCCTTTGGCGGACCCTTCTCGGCACATTCCTTCACCCGGCCTGGTCCTGCCTGCCGAAATAACGGGCGCTTGCAGCCGCTAGCTGACTTTCTGCAGCCGCTGGGGCGAGCGCCTCCCCGCCCCTAGGTGTCTGCCGGGATCTGACCGTTTTGGGGGGAGGAACAGCGGAGGGTCCGGACCCCGAAGTGGGGGTTGGGAGGAGTGAGGAGAACCCCATCTGGGATTGGAAGTCGCTGGGGAGCCGGGACTTAGCCGGCAGGGCACGGCGGGCGGTGGCGGGGGAGGAAGGGGAGGAGCTCCGGGCCCAGTGCCGCTTGCCTGCCCGCGCGCCCGCTGTCCTCGGGGCTCCTGCCCGGCCGGGCTCTCCTCGGGGTGGGTGCGCGGAGCCCTCGGCCGCGGGAGCTGCCCTTGTCCAGACCCTGGCGACCGGGCGCTTGCGGCTGTGGAAGAAATAATGGAGGGTGTCTCTCGAGTCCGCCTCTTCTTTGCTTCTCTGTTTACAATATGGCGACCTGCCTTTAAATTATATTTTTATTCTCAGCGCCATTTTGGCTGCATATATAATTTGCAAACGTTTACCGGGGAACGGTGAGGGCAGCCCCGGAGTCTTTAATGCAGAAGCTCCTCGGGGGCCCAGGCTGGGATCTCGCTGCTTTGGTCCCCTTTCTCTGCCTCGGCTTGCCCCCTGTTGCCTCTCGGAGCTACCTCCCTCCTCCCTCCTCCCTCTTCTCTCCCTGCGCTGCTGCCTCTTAGGAAATCGGCCCGGGTTAGACAATTAAAATTGCCCTTGGGCGCCTATTTCACGTCTCCGCTCCGGATCGGCGAGCCCTTTGCCGCGAAATTCTTTGCTGCCGGGGCAAGATTGTGTGCGGTGGCTCCGGAAAGGCATTTTTAAGGAGCTGGGAGCTGGAAAGCCGTGCACTTTTTTTTTTCTTCCTTACTGAAGGGGAGGGGAAGGGAAAAACCGAAGAGAGAGGGAGGGACCTGGGTTGATCGCCCGCTGCTTGATCCTCCTCAGCAGCTCAGCCCAGAACAATCCGGCAAAGAAGAGTTTAAACTCCAGCTTCTGCCCGGAGAAATCACCTCTGCCCTCCACAAAAATCCCACATCTGCGCAGCAAACCCAAATTTCATCTTGTTCTGCTGGGTTTTGTTCTGTTGTTCAGCAACAGTTGACTGAGGCAGGCATTGGAGAGAGGAAGGAGAGGGGGCTGTTCTGTTTCTTCCCGTCCATTTTTTGGTATTGCCTTTTTCAGCTCTTTGGTTTTCTTTCTTTCTTTCTTTTTTAAAGGGGGAGGAGGAATTTCCCATAAGGTCACTTCACAGTCCATTCACATTCCATCTCTCGGTTTGTGGAATAGTGCCTACTGTATATTTGTACTAATTGCAGGTTTTGGAACACTTATTAGACAGATGACTGATACTGGGCAAATTAAGTCTGTGGTCAGAAGTTATGTAGGAAGCGCCCATTACCATTCCCAAGATAGTTTTGCCCAGGAGGGCACCCCATCTGGGCTTGTAATGTTGCAGGGACAAAAATGATTATCCTGGAGGAAGCTTTGCTGCTGGCTTTAAAATTTTTATTATGAAATGACTAATACCAACAAGAAGGGTCTGTGGTTTTTAGCCTTTACTTCTATTAAGTTGTATTCCACCTGGAGGAAATACCTCTGGTCAAATTTAAGGCACGGGAGAGATCTGTACCTGAACATGCTGTGTTGCTTACTTTTTTTTTATTGTGCTTGTTTAATACATACACTAGGACTGAATTGTATACTTCTTGATTTAAAGTTATGGGCTAATGTTTTACCCCTAGCATGAAGTTGGTGTTAACTGTGATTGTTGACTTTCATGTTGAGTGTCAGTTTTATAAGCTGTATATTATCTTTAGTTTCATTTGTTGAATAAAGCTGAAATTATTTATTAGAAACCTCATGCATGGAAAAAGTGTGCTGTTTTGCCTGAGATTGGGCTTTTAAACTCTAAAACCTAACCTTATCTTTTAATTAGATGAGTCTAAGTTTAGTCAAGTTGTAACAATTAACAGTTTCCATTCTAGCTGGAAGGAGAGAGGAGGAAATTTTAGGTCTTCAGGCTTGCCCAGACTACATTTCATTGAATACTTACTTACTTACTTATTTATTTATTTTGAGACCATGAATGGGAACTGGTAATCAGAGATTTACAGATAGTAGTAAATGAAGTAGGGCTTGTTTAACATGTCCAATTCTCCCTTTGAAGATGCCAGTACTAAATGTACCATTGACTTATCAGAGTTATTATCTAAATCACAAAATGTTGTAGATACTGGTATAAAGGCAGGAAGTCTTCTTTTAAAATAGGAATTCCCAAGATGAGTTTCATTCAGGAAGTGAGGCCTATCCCACTTTCCTGCCTCCTAACCCACACTCTTTCCAGCAAGAGTGAAGTACTTCGTTAACCATAGTAGTTAGGTCAAGTAGTTAATATCTCAAAACATTTTGATTCCTAGGTGTGTTTTCATTAATTTGTCTTGTTATTACTTGTACCATATGAGGGTAAGGTTAGGCAGTATGGCAATATTTTCTCTTGCTTCCCTTTTTAACTGGCTAAGACTGAATTATTTAGATAAGCGTAGTAATGATGAATTCCCTCATGTACAGAATGTGTAAGAGTGGCATTGGAATTTTGCAGATGCTGTCAATCATACTTGCAGTGCTGCTGTGTTCTCCATTCAGAGTTCCATAACATAAGTCCTTTTTCAGTCTCTTCAGTTTGCCTTGCCAGTCTGCCTCACAGTGAACAGGATCCAGTAAAATGTTCCAGAAGTCACTGTAGGCAAACTTTACCTCCTGGGTTAACTGACATAGCCATAAACCACAGGAGATTTTTCTAAGATAAACTACTGGAGGAAATGACTGGTCAAATAAGCTGTTTTAATTGTTCTGTCTTTTCTCAGGGGCCAGTGCTTTGTACAAGGCACATCGTCTCTTCCCAATTAGACTAGGAGCCCTATTTCCGAGTTTTCTGTAATGATCCTCTGGATGAGAGAAAGAATTGTCCTGTCCTTAGTACCATGACCTCATCAAAGAATTAAACTTGAGGAGCTGATGGCTTTGTATTTGTTTAAGTGATAATGTAATCATTTTTTCCAAGTTTAACTGGTTTATCAATTATTCAGAGTGATAGTAGGGGGTTACTAAATCTGCCTCTGGAGAATTCGAAAGAGATATGTTTTTAAGTGTTCCCTGGTGCGCCTGACCTTTTTCGTAATTGTCATGTCGTAAGTTGAGCTTTCTGAAAATTCTGGGTCTCCATGGACTAGTCTCTAAAAATCTGTTAAAAATTAGGCCGGGCGCGGTGGCTCACGCCTGTGATCCTAGCTCTCTGGGAGGCAGAGGCGGGCGGATTGTTTGAGCTCAGGAGTTCGAAACCAGCCTGAGCAAGAGCGAGACCCCATCTCTACTAAAAATAGAAAGAAATTAATTGGACAACTAAAAATACATAGAAAAAATTAGCCGGGCATGGTGGCGCATGCCTGTAGTCCCAGCTACTCTGGAGGCTGAGGCAGGAGGATCACTTGAGCCCAGGAGTTTGAGGTTGCTGTGAGCTAGGCTGACGCCACGGCACTCTAGTCCGGGCAACACAGTGAGACTCTGTCTCAAAAAAAAAAAAAAAAAAATTAGAATAACTGGTGGAGCTTTAGTTGCCACTGGACCATCTTTTTGTTGGAGATGGTTGGGATTGTTGTCACTGGTAGGGTGAGTACCATAGGGCATCAATAATGAGGATGGTGAAATTGCCTGGTTTCCTCTGATTGCTTTGTCATGGCATTTTGCTCCAAACAGACTGAGGGACCAAAATGGTCTGACTGAGAAGTGGATCTATCTCAGCCGACCTCAGCATGGTCCCTTCCCGTCAGACAGATTTCTGTAGCATTTGCCTCCGCATGTTATATTTGGAATTTTGGCCGGCTTTCCTCTCACTGGTGTTGGCAGCAAGATCCAAAATGAGGTTTTCGAAGAATGAGAGTAAAAAGGTCTCTGCGCACAGGCAAAACTAAGCTCAGCTTGGAGTTTTGCATATTTAATTTTCATTGAGTCATAACAAAGGTTTCACACATAGTATAGAAAACTGCCTTGCAGAAAATCTTTGCTGTTTGAACTTTAAAGGAGGTGGTTTTTCTGATTTTGTTGTGTTTAGCTCCCCTTTAGAATGATATCAGGCAAGTGGCGAATTAAAATAAATTTATTTTAACATTATCTTATGAATCTGTTGTTTTTGACATTGTAAGTGTTTAGAAGCCTGGCACTGATGGAACTGGAGGTGACAATGTCTGGATTCCCTCCCCTCACCTTGCCTCATCAATAGTAAAATGATTCCACAAAAAACAAACCTAATTTGGTTTTGCGTTTATCTACTTATCTGTTTTGCATTTTCTGTGTTGCATTAGAATCTAGGTGTGTAGGGAGTATATTCAGGGCAACTTTGCAATATATGCTTCTCCCGGGGGAATACAAAAAAACCCTAGGTATGCAGTGTTGTCTTTAAATGGTCCATCTAAACATGGAAGGTTCAATAATGTTCAGCTTTAACTCAGATGCAGATGCGTGCTTCTTAAACTTAATGTGGAGCTCAGTGGCTAATTCTTGTGAAATGAGTACAAGTATCAGAAATATTAAAAGTAGAAAAGGAGGTAATACTCCTGAAAGGTGACAGTTTTGTGTAACTTAAATACTTAGTGGTGCATTTGTGAGAAATTTTTCATTTTAGGTCTGTCCCAGAGTTACCATACTCAGTGAAAGGTGAGATGTAGTTACAATCTCATCAATCTCCTCGTGTTCCTTAAGACTCTCAAAGTACTTTACGAATGGACTCCACTAATATATTAGGACAGTTTTGGCCTTTGTAAATGACTTGTGTATTCTTTAGAGACATAAAAGTGCAAAAGACATATTTAGGTACTGCTTTCATTTGAATCTGGAGATGGAATTCAT